AAGCTATCAAACAATCTCATTACAAAAACTTTTTATTATTCTGAAAATGATGGTGAGCTTGAAGTTGTTTCTTAATTCCCTCAACTTTAACTACTGTTCCATATTGACACATTTGAGTATCAGCTAAGGACAGTGCAAATGGACTCCCTACATGGAACAACCACTGCTGGATTATGTATTTTATGAAGATAAGATAAACTCGTTTTAACTTCTTAACCCTAGAGCTAGCTAGGGTCATCCAGCTGCTACCTTGCAGAAATTGTTGCTATATCACAGAATCAGAGTGGCTGAGTTTGGAAGGCATCTCTGGATGTCATCTAGTTCAAGCCCCCTGCTAAAGCAGGGCCACCTAGAGGCAAGGTGCTCAGGACTGTGTCCAGATAGCTTTTGCATATCTCAAAAAAATCAAGGAGTGTAATGTATACCAAACTTTAAAGAAAAGGCATTGACAAGGAAAAAATAACATTGTGCCTTCCCAAATCTAGCAAATATGTTGCTTGGAACACAGATATTCCTTCTGCAACTAATTTTTTGTAAAGGGACTATCAAGACAGAGAGGTTTTTGTTTGCTATCAGAGCAATTAGGAACACAACTCATGATGGCAGATGACCATTACAGAGGCATCTTGCTCTTTTTGGCTATGTGACTTACAACAAATACAACCCCAGCAGAACAGAGAGGTGGCAGCTTTCACAGGTCTTGAGTTGACACTATGTGTTCTCCACAGTATTTTTCAGTTTTCATTAAAATCTTTTTCCTGTTTCAATGAAATACCAAATTTAACTTTAGATTTTTGTGTAGAACCACTAGCAAATTCTTTCAGCGGGATTCACGTGAGAGACAGCAAAAGTAGTAACAGAAAGGTTCATAAAATGATGAGGCTTTCCAGAGTTCACTAATTTAGGAGCAACACAAATACTTGACTGTCGGGGTTGACAGCAGGTCTGTCAGAAGGAAGAGAAAGCTGTAAGAGCGGATATCCTGAACTTTCTGCAGGGTCATCATGAGCCTGCAAGAGCAAGTCACTGTGAGTCTGCAAATGCTGAATCATCACGAGCTTGCTATAGGGCAGCCAATCGGGATGTATGTTTATGAAGAAACACCAATTATAATGCAACATGTACGTTACACTGGGGAGTAAAAATGTTGGAGATCTGTTGCAATAAAAATCTATCCTATCCTGTGCTATTCTTTTTGGAAGAAGACTGTTTCTGTGTTTTTCTTGACCGCCACAACAACATTTGACCCTGTGTTACATGTACATGGAGAACACCAAAGTTTCTCACAGCCAGTTTCTTAGTTACTGGCTGTAAAACCAGTACATGCTGAATTTCTGTAAATACCTCTCATTGGTTTGTGACTGCACAAGTCTCGTACGTTTTCACCTTTCTAGTAGCATGCATTCTAGTAGGAATGCATGCTCAAGGTGGAAGCAGTAAACCCCTGAATTTTAATATTAGACAAGGTAAAGCTGTTGTTTATTCTGTTAGATGTAGACAGCGTCCTGGGTGGACAAAATGGAGACAACCATCCCAGGAGGGTAAACAAAATTTAAGATTTCTCTGCTGAAATTTACTCTTGTAGGAAAGGAGTGACAGGGGAATCCTAGCAGATGAAAGTTCTTCCTTAACACAGAAGAGCAGTAAAACGCTTCGTAAGTGCAGTCCTACAGAGAGGCTGTGCTGAGCCTACACCTATTACCTTTTCCAGAAAGAGTTCTCTAACTCCACAATTAATGTGACGAGAGAGCTGGTCAACTCCTGATCAGTTCCTAATATTAGAAAGTGTTCAAGAGGAAGCAGCCAATTTTTTGACTAATTTTTAAGCAAACATTTTTCTTAATTTCTGTCATTATTGAATCTAATCACAGCTTCCTTTCATTAAAATTTTCTGTTTTATGGTACCAAAATGATTTCTAAGACTTAAAAATTTCAAGAAAATTAAATTTCTCAATGAGGTGCTGTAAAAAAGGTTAAGGGAAAGGATTCATAACCTCCATAAGCAATTGAAACCTTAAGGTCAGGCTGACTCTTCCATGTGAATCAGTTGCACTGCAAGTAAATACAGATGTCAGAAAGGAAGTTTAAGGAAAAACACACTATTTCTTCTGTTTTTTATCTCCTCTCATCATCTTGAAGTATGATATAAAATGTGAGATTTTAAAATTACTCCTGGTAATAGCTCATTGCGTAAGGCAAACACTACCTCCTTGAATGTCATTGAACATATGTAGAGTTAGATCAGAAGAACTCCTTACACTGTTTCATCAAGACAGAAAAAAACCCCTCAAACCAACAAAAAACCCCACCATAACCAAACAATCAACAACTAAAACCAAAACAGTTTTAATAGCATTTTTAGTTCTCCTATATCCCTGTTTTTAGTCAAAAGAGGTGAAGTATTCTTCTATAAAAGACAATTACATTGCATAACAAACTGTATTATACTACACGACAGTGTATTTCCCTCTTACTCACAAGCTATTAAAAGTAAATGTGGAATATCCTCATGATTCTGGCATTTAAATAGCATTTAAAGAAACATGTTTCAGAAAATGGTGATTAGATTCACAGATCAGAATACTTCTCAAATTCAGTCTAATTATTTTTGTCTGTTATTTATTTGCTACTTTTATTTATTACATAACACTACATTTTATTAAAGATCTTTAGTATATTAATTTTAAAACTCTTCTCTCTTTCCACTGTCGTAGTTTCTTCTCTGGCTACATCTTCATTATACCCACCAATAAGAATATTTATAGCTAGGGATATATCTCTTCTCCACAGCAGACATTATTCAGTTGGAAAACCCATTCCATATTGGCATTACCCTACATATGTGCCTATTACTCATTCTAGAGTTAACTGTATGAAGTGACAGTCGATATGGACAAATTCGGGAACTCATGATGTCAGCCATTTTCTGATAGATTCACCACCTCTTTGAAACTCAGAGTCTCAGAATATGCAGCTGACAAGTGCACATTCATTTCCAGAGAGACTAGTTGAAGTGGAACTAGAGTCTGTAAACCAAAATTCAAGGACTAATGCAGTGCCATCTGCCAGACATATTTCTGAAAGGGTAGAGAAAGTCCACCTTCATCTTACAGGGAATCACCTCCACATTTTTCATGAAGAAAGCATTAAAATTATCCTTTTCCCTTACAAGGTAATCAACTACAATGCATTCTTGGAATGTTCTATTTCTTAGTATCTGTAATTCAGGTATATGAACACCATTGAAAGTATTATGTTTAGAAATACTTTCCTTGGCATGCTTAAAGGTAGTAGCTAGGAAATCTGCAGAAACACATAGGGTTATGAAAGATGAAGTGCACATTCCAGCATATTTTCTAATAAAATACTTCTATGCCATAAGCTACTGACTAAATTTTTCCCCACAAAGTATGCAACAGCTTACTAGTGAACTGTTTGGGGTTTTTTTGTAAACTTGCTCTTATTTTGTTTTGCAATCCAGAAGTCTGCACTAACAATATTGTAATCCTTATTTAAAAGCCCTGTAAAGTCAAGCAAAGTATTATATAGACTGAGTTCTTCACAAAGAATTTCAAAATGCTACCCAGGAAATAGATTTCTCATGTTTCCATATTCACAAATTATTTTTGTAGGACTGCTCATCATTTTCTGCTTTATTTTCTACTTCAATATATCTTTAAAACCCTGCAATCATGAACAGTGTTTTACAGAAACTATAGAAGGTTGCATTGACAAGACAATAAAAGCACATTTTTTTTCCTAGTGATGCATCAACTAGCATGCTGAAACTAATACATTCTACAGCCCCATCATCACCCCAAACACTGTGCTTATACAATGTTCTCCTGAGCTATCTGAATTCATATTAAAGCACTGTTCTGCTTGATCACATCTCACTGGAGAACACACAGAAAGATGGAAATACTGTAGTACTTTGTGAAATAATTGTGATTTGCAAAAATGTCAGTGTATTTTATCTGTAAGGAGTGCTCTGCTCCAAGCAGAGAAGACAGCAGGAAAGTTAACACAAAACTAAAAGTAGGAGGTCACAAAAGCAGTATTTTAGAGAGAAGTGACGAAGTCTAGAAGAGGTAGCATAAAGGAAAACAGCAGTAGAAAAATAGTGAGATAGAGCTATTCAAGTATCAGGAATACAAGTATAAGACATTTGAAGACAAATGGGTGAGAAAGTGAGAAAGTGTTACAGAGACTGTGTTGTTAAAAGGCAGAATACCAAAGATCAATGTTTTTATTAGCACTATTTAAAAAACAGTGATAATGAAAGGAGACAGAGTGATGAAGCTAGGAAGTTGAAGACAGAGAGGTAAGGACTAAGAATGAAGCTGAAATAGGATGCAGTTCAATCAAAAATGAGTCTTCTAGACATATTTAGTCTTTATTTCAATTTATTGGTTTCAAGTTCATGTCATAAAAAGCAGGTAGATAATTTGCTATTATTTCATCTTTTGAATTGTTTTCAATTGGTTTATTGTCTTGAAGTCCATTTTATAGCTTGTAATGTAATTTTCTAATCCAAATGTTTATGGGTGAGAAAGAAATACATGCATTTAGCACAAGTGCCAAAGGAAAAAAAGCTAAAAAGCCTTTATTATGTAAATTTTTTTGTCTGATGAGTGATATATTCAAAGAAGCACCTTTGAATTTTTCCCTCACACAGTACCTCATGCTTAGGGAAATTCCTCCAGAAATGACAGTAAAACATATTACTAACGTCTTGAACCAAGTTAACATCAGTATTCTCTGACTTCTACTTCGTCTTATATTAAACAATGCGACTGCATTATATTCTTGTACCCACCCCCTCCTCAACCTGTCAGCTTATTGCCTCTGCCAGACAAATTCCTGTGGTCTGTGTGCCACTTGCCATAATACGGTCTTTGTTCAAGCAGTAAGAATACATTAAACTTCAGAAACACGAGTTTTAAAACATGAGAAATTAGACTGAAAACATAAAGGATGAAAATCTAACACATTCTTACCTATGCAGTTGTAAATACTCTCTGGGCCTGTTTAGAAGGTGAAGGAATCTGTCAACAACCTTGTTTTTCCCAACACCCTGCAGTAAATAAATATAATATTAAGACATAATACAGATGTACACATTTAAGGGTTATAAACAAAGAAAAGATAACTTGCCAAAGCTGTTAAAATACTCTCCATATTCCTTTATATGAAAGTACAACTTCAATTCAGTTCAGAGAATTCTGAACACAATTAAATGATATATGTTTTATTTTACATATATTTGCAAAATACTTATCTGTCTTACTAGAAATAACCAGAGGTAGGATTGTATCCCTAGAGTTATGTCACACATGCTAATGCATCCTTTAACTAACACCAGTTTTTCCAGCCTTTCTATTTCATAAAGGTATTGCAAAAATGTCAATGCTAGGAAGTTGTCTTGCATTTAATAGGAAAAGGTCATTCCCAGTGGTTGTAGGAAACATCCTGTAACTGTCAAATGGAGTTTGGGCACAGCCTTGGTAATACTTGCTGATCCCATTCCACTGGAGTTACTAAAAAAGACCCAAATAGAATCAGAATTTGGTTGGAGATAAAACTGTATAATTGTCCTATTGCAGGATGTCTGCAGTAGCAAGCTGTGCAAAATGATGACAGTGGGTTTATTAAGTGAATCAGGTGTTTCTAACACCCTGCTGTGCCAAGTTCAGGAGCTGGTATTTCAGTTCAGGTCTAACCTGGTCCCATGGAAGGAATTAGCACTTTAGTCTTATCCTAAGAGAATCTGGGTCTTGTATCCAACTGCAGTAAGGAGATTCCCTGCAAAAGTACATTCTTGATCAGCTCTAAAATGCTGATGTTGATGCAGACCAAGATGTAGAAATTCTTATCCTTCCTGCAAGGATGTGGTTGCAGATTTGGGAACTCAGAAGGCCAGTGAGATTACCGAGGGTTGTAAAGGAAAAAGAAAAGGAAACAGTAGAAAGAAAATCTCAATTGTAGCTTAGCCAAAAGCTGTTTGACAAGACACTGTCCCTTTGCTGAGATTCTCACTCTGACTGCATGAATGCAACTACTAGTCCACACCAGTGGATAAGAAGATAAATATAACCCACAGAAAGATTAAAAAGATTAGATTAAACCAACTTGAGATTCCCTAATCTGTTTCACTTGGCATTGAAACAGAATAGGAGCATTCAGAGCTGCAAGTTATGGCATTTATGACTGTAAGTTCTAGTTGAATGATGGTAACTGCCAGCTGCAGAATTGCAAACCGCTTAACCTTCTTAAAATGGGTCTCTCATCTGACTACATTTATGAAAATGGACAATCATGCATGTATGTGTAATAGTTGAAACCACTGGAGAGTTCTCACCATGAGAGCAGAGGAAAAAATACCACAGCGCAGACAAGAATAAAACTACCTAGATTCTGCTGCAGACTTGACTCCAGACAAGAGAGCCAACTCAAGTCAGTGCTCTGCCACACGCCTCCTCACAAACCTTCTTCCATCTGATTCTTCAGAAGAATCTACAGCTTTACACATAGGTGTAGTAAGAAGCTGCAACACGCTTAATATCTTTCACCAGTTGTTTCCGAAAAGTGTCACTGGAAACAGTTCTCTACTGCTTTGAAAGGGGATGAAACTGCAGAACTTATAGGACATAACCATTTGGGGGGAAACTTGCAAGTTAGAAATTTTCTCAGAAGCATTAAAAGTAACCAGAAACAGGCTAAGAATCCCCTAGTGGCACACAGTTTTATTCACATGTTTCCTGCTACTTGCAGTCAGATACTTAAAATCATAAATGGGTGAATAAACAGGAATACTCCTAGTGTCAAGCACAAAACACCCATGCTGAAAGTAGCTTCCTTTCCTAAGAGAGTTAATGATGGCTGGGCAGATGTCTGCACACAGTTTCTGTACCAATCCCAAGCAGATTGCATATCCTATTTCGCTGCAGAGTGGGACTCCAGCCAGCTGTGGTAAGTACAAAGATGGTGAAATAGAACAACATATTGAATCAATGTAAAACATACTTAATATCAAAAAATGTGGTTACTGTAATTTAAAAAAAAAATTGGCTTTCATGTGCATTAACTGAAAGTGCATGTGGTTTTTATGTTTATTATAGATTCTTAGAATTATGCCTGAAAGTATTTTCTCAACTACGAAGGAACAGATTTTTCCTATAGAAAGAGGATCATGTTTTTGTATATTTCTATTCATGTTGTTATCACCAAGGGTATTAAGAGGAGAGCATCTCACTTCTAAGAACTCTCAGAGGACACAAGCATGGTTGAGGAGCACTGTGGAGGAAGGGAGAGCACAGTTACTAAAGTAACACAGTGGGAGCTACGCCACGACCACATCTCACCCTTTCTTCACTTTTATTTGCGCATCTCATCAGACTCTCTGCACAGTTCCTTTTACTTAATTTTAAGTATACCTCAATTTCAGAACATCATACATTTTTTAAAAGGTGCATGCAGTATTCAAAAGTCAAAAGGCATTCCCACCCGGTTTTAGATATTATAAACATGTTAACATTGCCCAACTTCTAGGTTGAACTGCTTCCGAGAGTACATTGTGTGCCTTCACAGAGGCTGTGGTGTACCACATAAAATCCTCGGCTGGCAAGAGTAGCTGGAGCAAAGTTCACGTCAAAGCTTTTTGATTCCATCCCTCTACATTCCTACTTCATAACAAGTTACCACTTCTCTTTGTCTTGGCTACTCTATTGAGAAGTCACAATATAATAAAAAGGAAGGAAGAGACCAAAGATATTCAGAAGAATCTTTAGCACCACTAAGAAACTGCAAAAAGAGAGTTTGGATGAGTTCATTTCTTAAGTACTATGCATTAATGTAAGGCCCAGAAAAGCAGGTTTATTCCAAATTCACCTGACCTCCATGGGATAAAGAATATGCCTGGTAGTCTTTTTCAGGTGGACAAGAATTGCGGAAAATGGTAACCCATTTTGGAAAAAAAAAAAAAACACCTCTGAAATGATTTACTGGCACCTAAGAAAAAAGAAATCACAAAATTGCAACAAAGTTATCCTCCTTTCCCCCGCCTGCCAGGGATCAAACTGGATCTTCTGGACATCCACACAGACAGTAGTCAACTATTTAAGCAGAAAGAAACAGAACTACCCTTCACTTGAACATACTTAAAGACTGAGTTGAACTTGGACTGGATTCAGAATATAATCTCACGTAATTTGCAATTATTGTAGCCTGAGGTAACATTCAGAGGACAAAATAGTTTGCCATTAACACTTGCTGTATGATACTAAATATGCATCATTGCAGTTACTTAATTTAACAGAAATATAAACATGCTAATTAGAGAGAAAATAACATCTGTGTTAGTGTTTCAGCTGAACAGAATAAAAATATTTCAGAAAGCAAATATAAGACAATTTTTATTCCATCAGACATATGGGACAACTGAAATAGAAAAATGGGAAGTAAATATCTGCACTAATGAATAACAAAAAAGAAATTATGCAATCAGAAGACAAAATAATCTCAGTTAAAAATTCTTCTAATTGACAGTGTAAACACTTGCTACCAAGGATGAAATGACTTAATCTTCTGCAGTTTCAAATATAAACAAGGTTATTACAGGTCCCAGGAGGCATTTTGCAATTCAGGACACAGATCTCACAGTAGTGGGACAAATTTATCCCCTGAACAGCCCAAACAAAGGCAATAAAGTTATAGTACAAAAGAACTGGTCCCAAATTTTTGAAATTAACAATTTGCCTCTTAAAGAAAAAAAAATCTAAGCCACACTGCCTCATTTTTATTTTCTTCTAAATGATTTTCAGGTCATACTGAAGCAGCTAAAGAGGTTGCCAGGTTGTGCTCTTCAGTACTGCCCTTCAGCTGAAACACTGCAATCACACCTTCTCCATCTTGGTGCACAGCCATCCTGCATAGCACAGAACCTGTTTCATTACAAAAAGAATGAAACAAATTTTAAAACTGGTAAAAAAGCAGTTTTTCACCTTAGGAAATCTTATTTCATAATTAATTTTAAAATTCCATTATTAGGGAATGAAAGACAAATTTGGCTTATCATTACATTTTAGTATCCAGAACCCTCATGTCAGAGTTCTCAGTTTCTGACTTCACAGAAAGTGTTGTATTGACAATGTCAATATCACAGAAACTTGCAGCTGAACAACGAAAATGTTCAGAAAATGAAAACACTTTTGCTAACGTGCAGTTTCTAACACTGGGTCTGGCACTAAACCACCTTCCATGGCCTCAGTTTGCCTGTTTCTGCCAGCAAAAACATTTGCAATGCATGCATTTTGGTTGAGGCTGCTATTTTCAGAACAGAGGATCATATTTCTGGTTTTCTAAAAAAATGTACTGTTATCAGCAAAGTAACAAGCAGCACCTATACAGAATTGTTTCACACACTCCAGGTGTTATAAAGCCCTGTTTGGAACAAACGTGAATAATGCAGTTTAATAATTGCAAAAGGTGTATCACCAGCAGACACCAGACATTGCTACCACAGGACCACTGCAATCGACCCTGTCACTGCTACCTTGTTTGAGTGTTAGCAACAAATTAAAATACTTGTACAAAAGCAGAGGTGGTTTTAAGTCTTGCCCCAGCTGCAATGTACATTTTTATCAGTCACAACAGCAAGTGTTCTGTGGTTTAGTATCCCATTTTTTTATTATGAGTTTATCATCCGGGGCATGCAAAAATTATGGTGACAGCAAAATAATAAGATTTCACCATTAGAACAAATAAACTTAATTCCCTGATAGGAATCATGAACTGAATGCTTTGGATACATCTCTCACTAAAGGTCTAGATAAGCTTGTAGAGTTTATGTCTTTTTCTGACTTAAAGTACAACTTTCAACCCTGAGCCCTGTCAGGCTAAATACAAGCTTTACATTTCCAGCAAGGTAAGACAACTGTGGTTCAGTGGAGAGGAGCACATGAAAAATTTATAATAGAAAGAATTTGTGTGAAGAAACATTTAAAAAAATTTGATTCTTTTTTAATTCTGGTTCTTCCATTTAATATGTACAAGCAGAAATCGACACTGTAAGCAGAG